CCAGCGCCAGCAGGAGGCCCGCGCAGCCCGGAGCAACCTTTCCTCCTGGCCTCTGGGCCCGCGTGCTCCCTCGCGCGTTGACGTGCAGGCTGATATTTGTAAAGCCCACAAAACTGAGCCTTCAAACGTCACGCAGAGGACGGCGCGCCCCGCCCCGTCCCCCGCTGAGAAGGGCGCGCAGAGGCGAGGCCGCCCAGGTTGATGGGCAGGCGGATGGGCGGAGGCCTCCTCCGCAAGGCCGGGTCCCCTCGCCGGCAGCACCGACCCCTCTCCCTGCCAGGCCGTCAGACCCTTCCTACTGGCTCTGAAACGGGCCCAGCGTCGCTCCTGCACAGCCCGGGAACGAGCTGGACTCATCTTCCTGAGTGGAAAGCCTAGAACTTTTCTGTTCCTTATGCTCCATCAAGTATGGCTAACCGGCGGCTTCCCTGGTGGCGCAGTGGTTGAGAGTCCACCTGCCAATGCAGGGAACACGGGTTCGTGCCCCGGTCCGGGAAGATCCCACATGCCGCGGAGCGGCTGGGCCCGTGAGCCATGGCCGCTGAGCCTGCGCGTCTGGAGCCTGTGCTCCGCAACGGGAGAGGCCACAGCAGTGAGAGGCCCGCGTACCGCAAAAAAAAAAAAAAAAAAAGGTATGGCTAACCGTGAAGACTCTTAAACATCCTACTTACATGATCTGAGTACCGCAAGAAAAAAAAAAAAAAAAGGTATGGCTAACCGTGAAGACTCTTAAACATCCTACTTACATGATCTGACGAACAGTAGCTTCCGAGACAGTCACCTTGGGACTTACTCTAGTCCTGTAAACGTTCTAACACCCCCTTCCCATGGTCTGTCTGCCGGCCCCCACTGCCCTCGGCATGAGGGCATGAGTGGCCTGCTCCTTCCACAGAGGCAGCAAGGAGCACAGGCCAGGCCCAGCATGTGTCCCCAAAGACCCTGATTTTAGGGGCGCACTGGGTACAGCAGCCACAAGGCCCCCCTTAAGCACCCATCGTGGCTACAGCTGCTCTGGCCCTGAGTCGGCCTGGGCCTCAGCGCCACACCCAGCTTCCCCGACAGCACAGCTAACCACGCCACAGGGCCTTCCAGGATGACATGTGTGCACAGACCGTCCCGAGGATTCCTCAAATCAAGTAAGGACTTGGGCGGGGAAAGATCGGGAGAAAAGATCTGACCCTTGGGAGGGAAATGCAGCAGACAGGCAGGCCATTCCCCGTGCTACACCGAGTGCCACCTGAGGGGCGGGGCCCAGGGCAGGCTGGTGGCCGCCGGGAAAGCAGACCTAGTGAGCCTGGTCATGCTTTCTTCCCCCACGAGGAACCCAAGTTTAGCTCAGCCCCTCACGTGTGTTAGGGGTTGGAGTGTGCACTCCTCCCGCCCGGATCATATATTGGAGTCCTAACCCCAGTACCACAGAACATGATCTTAGCTGGAGGCAAGGTCTTTACAGAAGTAATCATGTTACAGTGAGGGCATGAGTATGGTGTCCACAGACGAAAGGGACATTTGAGGCATGAGCTCAGGGACAGCACCCTGCAAACATGAGGACGGTCAGCGACCGGCCACGGAGAGGGGCCTCGAACAGCCTCAGAAGGAGCCAACTCTGCCAACACCTCGACCTTGGACATCTGGCCTCCAGAACCGCGGGGATGTAAGTGTGTGTTGTTTAGGGCGCCCGGCCTGTGGTACTGTTACTGCGGCCCCAGGAAGACAACACGTGTGTTGCTGTTTCCCAGGGAGTCATGTGCGAATTCCTCCCCCAGCCACGGAGGGGGCTTCGGGGGCGGGGTAGGGGGGTTGCTGATTCTCTGGAGGCTCTGGGAGGGCAGGCTTGTCCCCAGTGCTGGTAACAACCAATCAGCCACGCCCTGGTGTGGCCCCTCTGGACTCCTTTCTGTAGGAGCCATGGGCCTTTTCCTTAGCAACCAGGGTTGGTAATTTTAGAATCCACACAGGTATATCAAGCCTTAGACCAGGGGGTGGAGTTCTGCCCCAAATGAAAGCTAAGCCCCCATCCGCCAGGAAGAGGACAGCCACAGCTTCTCAGCGCTGAGGTCAGGACAGCAGGCGGGAAGAGGTGCTCTCCTGCGTGGCGCCCCAGCAACGTGGTGCGCACACGCGTGTAAATATACCACCCCCTGCCGGCGCTGGCAGTTCCAGCGTGAAGGGCAGGAGGAGAAGCGACATCTAAACGAACCTGAGTCAAGAAAGCCAGAGGCGCGGCTGGGGAACGCATCCCCTGATCAACGGGCATCCTGGAGTCTGGGGCGGTCAGGCCAAGGGCAGACCCCCGGCGCCCTCACAGTCCAGACACGGGGAAGGTTCTGCTGCAGGGGGCCAAGGGCAGAGGCTGGCCTCCAGAAGAGGCGGCCAGGGGTGGGACATCCTCGGCAGGATGCAGCCCATTAAGACGGCGGCTAGGGGGCCCCCACTCGGGGTCCCTGTGCTCCCCACCCCACAGCTCCCCCTCAAGGGCTCTCTGGAGCCCCGCCAACAGGCTGCTTGGATCCTTGGGCCACTTTAGGGTCCTGGGTGGTGCCGCTGCTGCAGCCCGAGGCTCTGCTCCTGCACTGGCGGTCACCTGGAGGAGTGGGGCAGCAGGCAGCAAAGGGGGCGGGGGGCTCCGGTGGCCCTCCGGGCGTCCGAGGGGTTGATAAGCGGTCACAGCGGGGCTGCCGCATGCCGAGGAGAGAGGGCCAGAGCTGGGCCCAGAAGCCTCTGCCAGGGGCATGTCCGGGGGCAGCTGAGGCACCAGGCGGGGCCTCGCGCTGGCCAGGCCTGAGGAGTCGCCGGCCCTGCAGCCTTCCGCCTGGTCCCGCAAGATCTTCGGTCTCGGCCTGCGGGGGCCCTTGTGCCTCCAGTAGGGCGGGTGTCTGTGAGCAGGGCCACCGGTCCAGCGAGGGCCCCAGAGGAGGCCCTTCGTCCCTGGGCCCCACGGGCGCCGCCCTAGCCGATCCACCTGGGTTCTCACGGCGGCCACTTCCTGAGCCAGGCCGGCCAGGGTCCCAGCCAGCCGGTCCAGCTTCTCCGAGAGGGCGGAACTGAGGCTACGGAGCTCGTGCTGCAGGGAACTCCCACAGGGGCACGGTGGCCGCGGGGAGGCGCGCGGCAAAGCCCGAGGGATGGCAGCTCCAGGGGGAGGCCCAGGCGGATCTCCAGGAAGGGGCCTCGGGTGGGTCCCGGCTGAAACCAGAGTGGTATGCGGGTGAGGGTCCTTGAAGCCTCAGGACCTTCTCTCCCCCCAGGGTCCCTTCAGCTAGTATCTCATCCTGCCCCGCTAAGGCTGGGCTTCAGACGGGCAGGATCCTAGTGACTCAGGCTGGGGAATTATGGATGGCTGTTCCCCAGAGTCACGGGCAGGATAAATCACAGACCAGGTCTCCATGGTAACCAAGCTCGACTAGGACAGTGGCCTTCCCATCTTCTAGGAAAAGGTGGGTTCTCTATGCCACCTTTGGGCCCTACTGATGTCCCAAGTAACTGTGCCCTTGGGAGTCAGTGGGCAGGGCCTAGAGAAGCCGCAGATGGCATGAGGCCAAGACCGTGGGCAGCATCTGGAGAGGGCTCAGGAGAGCCAGTCCAGCCTGGGTCCCAGGTGTTGCTAGTGGGGTGACCAGGGGGCTGTATCAGCACCCAGTGCTACTGGTCACCAGTAAACCACAAGTGTCTCCACTCCTTCCTGACCTTTACCCTCCCTCTTCAGAAGTTACAGACATAGCACTTTAAGTCTTAAGTTACTATAAAAAAAAAAAATCACCTCCTCCTTCACCTTAAGTTCCCTTGGAACTGGTCTCCACCCGAGGCAAGCCTCATAAAGAAGCCCCCCGTTACTACCCAGAGCTGCAGGACAGACCTGCTCTCCCTGTGCTTCTCAGGACCCCAGAGCTTCAAACAGAAAAAGTGGAGACTGGAGCCCAAGGACCCAAACGATGCCCGGCCACATGCTTCAGGAAGGATCTCGGCTAAGGGCCAGTGACAGTGCTGCTGTCCTAGGTGCCCTTCTACCCGAGGCGCAGCAGCGGGGCTGCCGGCCTCAGGCCAGCTCAGCGCTCCTGATAAAGCAGCTGCACCTGCAGGGACGCCAAGCCCACGATATGATGGAGCCCCCCACTGCAGGCTTCAAATGTGAGGATCTGGGTGCATGTCCCAGAGCGGACCAGGGACCGAGCCCTGCCCTCCCGAGGCGGGTCTCTGACGTGGTGTAGGGAAGAGCTTCCTCGGGGGCGGGTGACACAGAACCACATCTCTGGGGACGCCCCCGCCAGGCCACTCACTACTGCGCCTGTTTCCCGCTCTGTCTTCTAAAGCCGCCTCAAACCCCGAACTTTGATTCTGGATGCATCTATTCTGGGGAAAGTCTCAATTTCTGTTTTGCCTCTAAAAACGGTCTGCATACTTTTATGAAACAGCCAACTATTCCTGTAGGAAAACCCTGAAATGAAATAAGCAAGCTGAAGTGAGTTCAACATGAGACTCTTCCCGCCTGTGACCCAAGCGAGCCTGGAAGGCTGTTATGAAAAAGCCTTTCCCAGGCTGTGAGCCCGGGGGTCTGGCTGGCCCACCCTGCCACAGTGAGCTGAGCAGCGGGAAAAGAGGGTGGGTGGCCGTGCAGACGCTGAGCCCCCGCCAGCCCTGTACTTGCAGGGCTCCCGATACTTGAGGGGGCAGGGAAGCCACCAGCTCACCTATAACACCTGGGCTTCCATCTCCGGGCCCCAGGCCATCACCAGCCGTCGGATTCCAGGACAGGGGCCCACAGGCTGACCCAGGAGGCTGGCAGGGCCCAGACCCCGACCTTTTCTCCAGCTGAGAGGCAGGGCAGGCATCCACAGCTGCCCCCGCAGGAAGAGCACAGAGTACTTGGGGTGTGGATACACATCGTCTTCCCAGAGCCACTCTGACCGGGGATATTTGGACACGACCTAAAAAAAAAAACCAAAACAACCAAACTTTCAAATACTGGTTAAACGAGATGCAAGAGGGATATACTCGGCTCGTTAGGAAGCCCATCTCTGGGCGCCAGGACACATAGGACGAGGGTGGCCCAGATTATTTCCGGGGTCCTCTGCAGCTCCGGCATGATGCCCCTGGCTCTCCCAGTAGGTGGGGGCAGGAGAGCGCCATGCCTGCAGGTCCCACCCCCAGCGAGGCCCCTCCGGAGATCTGCTGGAGGCCCTGTGGGTCCACGCCTGGCCCCCTCTGCTGTTTCCCGACAGGCCCACAGCCGGTGAGGAATGTGGGTACAGCTGGGGCTTGCACAGAGGCCAAGCGGTGGGCGGAGCCACCGGCCTGAGTGCGGGAGCGGGGGGAGCCCCCTTCCCCGACCCTGCACCCCACCCATCCCTACCTCCTCCGGCGCTGCCCAGGGGGCCAGGTGGGCCCAGGTTCTCCAAGCACACTTCCCTCCAGGGCGGATGGGACAGGCCTCCCACCTTCTCTTCTGCTTTT